TGTTGAAAGGATTCAAATTTGAAAACTTAATTTAATAATTCTATTTTATTTTTAATTAAAAATATGATATTATAACATTATTATTTTTATGTTTAACGATACTATTTTTTATGGTAAATAAGCAACTGTATTTGAATTTTATCAGAATGGTTTGACAATATAATTTTTAAAATTTTTCAACATAGTGAAGTTATAGTTGTTTTATTTTCAAATTCATTTTTTAATTTTAAGGCAAAATGCCACTTACACCTAGTTTGAATCACAATATAACACAAATCAAATAAATCATGTATACAATCTTCATTATATATTGCTTCCATATTTCTAAAATAAATTATTTCAAGAACAAAATTATCTCAAAAACTATTTGAAAACGTAGATAGCAATTGTTAATGCCCTTTCATGTATTATCAAGATATATAAATAAGAAAGTATCAATAATTTTAGATAATTACATGCAAATGCAATGTAATTAACTTTCTTTCAGTCATAGTTTCATAAATGAATGGAATAAATAATGTTATTACTATGTATTTATATATAAAATTCTTCTATAATGATGTTTGTAAATATACTCTTTTTAAACGATTATTCGGATTTTGATAAATCTTTCTGAAGTTTGTTAAAGGAATGTAATGTAAAATAAATGGGAAAACAATGACATTGAAAACGAATCAAAACTATCATCTACCAAAAATTTCAATTTACTTATGAGCCTAGACAATATTAGAATATGCACAATAAATTTGTAATTATGAATAAGAAAAATAAAACGTCTGCATTGACAATGTCGATAAACAGCTGAAATGTGCCAAAAATTGTAATAATATAAGATATAGAGTATATTGAATAATACACTTATGAACAGGATTTGACAAATTAATATTACAACGGCACAGGACAACATCTGTCGGGTCATCTAGTATTATATAAAATAATACCATGTTATAACTTTTCAAAACGTGAATAAAATCTTTATTAAAAACACACAATATACATACACATTAAAAATTTGTTCTATATACACTCCAATATTATGAAACAATTGTTTGATTAATTTTTTGGCTAAACGTCGCTTTGCATCACACATGTTTATTCATTGGCAACTAATTCGCTTATTGATACAAAACAGGCACTCTTGGCAATAAGTCGATTTTTGTCTAATATTCAAGTCTCTTGAAAACTAATTATTGTGTTACCTATCGAGTCTGCGCTGCAACAATGGGCCATTGCAACTTCTGAATCAGACGGTGTGAAAACCTGGAATTAATTTGATATATAAACAAAACTGGTGAAAATTCATTATGTAAAATTTAATATATCTTACCCTGTCTACTACTGTACGTATTTGATAGCTATCAACATATAATGCTAATTTGTCTAGTATTACGTTTGCTGGTAATGTCTGTCTTCCAAAAATATGCTGAAACATAAAATCATTTTTATAAATTCAAATTACATGATATTTCGTATAATATCTACCACATACCTCAATAATTCGTTTAGCATAAAAACCAAAAGAATATATTGTCCTCAATATTAAACCAAAGCTATCGCTCAACAACTCAGGCTCAATAGTATTAATAATACATCCTTCCTTATTTATGAAATTCAACCACTGTGTATGCTTCATATTTGATTCCACCGTTAAAAATATCGTATCAAATGGATCATTCAGTTGTAATTCCTTTAACAATAAATCAGTGCTATTCTGAAGTTCATCTTCTGCCATACTGCAGTCTACATTTTCAGGAATTAATGTTATGACATCATGAGCCCCTGAGAGCAGAAATATTAGTTTAAATATTTGAATATATTTAATTTTTGGTATAAATATTTATACCTAAGGCTTTGGCAACTTTTATACCAATCGGTGCACAAGATACTGTAATGTGAGCTCCCCACGATTGTAGTAATTGTCCAAGGATGCATCCAACTGGAGAGTTTCCACCCAATATGAATATTCTAAATGAAATAAAATAATATTAAAATAATAATGAACAAAATACAATGTCAATTTTAATATTAGATATAAAAAAACTATCTATTAGTACAATTGAAGTATGTAAAATATAAAAAAAAAGTATTAAGGTATGTAAAAAATTTAGAAAAAAGTTATTATTATTGCTAACCTTTTATTTTTAGCAGTGGCTTCATTTAAATTAGCACCTTCGAGTGCTTTCATCGCAATAAAACCACCATAAGGAAGACTTGCAGCAGCTGTAATAATTTAAACGTAAGTAAATTAGTAATTTAAAATGAATTAAAAAAAAAACATTATAAGTAAATAGTCATAGCCATAACTAAGAATTTCTTAGTGTTTTGTGCCTCAAATAGTGTGAATAAAAAATAAGTTTAATAAATTTGTTTGTTAAATGGCAAAGAGAGTGAATTTAGTTTGCAAGAATTTTTGAGAAAGTTAAAGAAAAAAAATTATGATGAGTAAATACTTGTTTTAATTCTATTATTAATTTCCAGTAGATAAAACAATTTTATCGGCAACGAAAGTTTTTCATAATCTAATCAAATTTAATCAATTATCCACTTTGGCAAGATAAGGAAATCTGCAGTAAACAACAGGTAATCGCAGATCGAATTCTCTAGAAATAATCAGTTTAAAGTTTGCTGTCGGTTATTATGGAGCAAGTGAAAATGGATCATGACTCAAAATCAAGTGAAAATTTCTTTAGTGATAGCGATGAAGAACGTGATAAAAAATTTGAACTATTTTCAGCCATAAGAATCGGAAATTTAGAAGTGGTTCAGAACTTACTGACCGCTGGTGTAAAAACCAACATAGTTGACAAAAATAATAAAGACAATACGCCTTTGCACTACGCCACAGAAAAAAATAAAAAAGATTTAGTGGAGGAACTTTTGCATCCAAAATGGAAAACAGATATCAATGTCGGGAATACAAAGGGCGATACTCCATTGCACATTGCAGTTTCGAAAAGATTTGAAGACATTGTAAAAATATTGTTAAACCACAATGCAAAAGTTGATATTTCCAATAACAGCGGTAGAACACCTCGGGATATTGCCAAAATGATTAATAATGAAAAAGTTGCGCAAATGTTATGCCCAGTATTAGCTACAAGTGAAAATCAATCAGAACATATGGTAGGAATTGACGAAGAAGCAAGCACTTCATTCACAAAGGAACCAAGTAGGTGAACTTCTATATTTAACTCACTTGCATCATAAAGATGCCTAGAAAACTAGTGCGTTTTAAAATTCTGGAAAATCAATTTTTTTCAGAGTTTAAAAAAAAATTTGAACCTTTTCTAAAAATTTTATTTTTTGGCCCGGGAATTTCAGCAATTTGCCTTAAGGCACGATGCCATGCTTCACTAGTTTACTTTTTTATTGGATCTCCAAAACCGCTAGACCTGTTTTCCCAGAAGTTATCAGTTTAAAAAATGCCATTTGGCGGACAAAAATGTTCATTGGATATATGCACATCAAATTATCAAATATTTCATAGAGAAACGCATTTTGTGTCAATTTTTTTGGGTTCCGTACCAAGATTTTTAATTTTGAAGTTTACTTATATGTTTCAAACAAATGTCATCGACATTTTCGGCAGTATGAAATAACAAACCAATTTGAATAATTTAAAAAAACATTCAATTCGTATCGATAAGGAGACGTGCTTATTAGTTTTTAGGCAGGTCTAGCCGTTTCGAAGATACGGGACAAAAACAGACAAAAATGGTAATTCAAATTTTGAGAGAACGGATCATCCGATTAAATTAATTCAAAAAACATTTTGCTTGAGTAGACGGTGTGCAAAAAATGCTTTTACAAAAAATTTCGTAATTAAAAAAAAAATCAAATTCAAAATTCAAAAAAAAAATCAAAATTTTCAAAAAATTCAAATTTTCGACAATTTTCATCATTTTCAAAAAAGACTTAATTTTGAAGAATTTCAAAAAATGTCGAAATTAAAAAAACGATTCCTTACAAAAAATTGAGAATATTTCGAAATTTTTCAAAAAATCAAATGTTTTCAAAAATTTTCTTATTTAAAAAAAAAATTAAAAATTCCAAAAAAATTCAAACTTCTAAATTTCTAAATTATCAAAAAAATGATATTTAAAATAATGAACAAATTTGTTTGTAGAATACTCTCGTCGTCTAATTTAAAATGCACTTATAAGTTTACAGAATGTATTTATAATAAAACAATCTATTTGAAATTATTCAAAACAATTATTGATTATTTTCATTCCTCGAGTGTTAAATTACGGTTTGGGAAGTTCCAGCAATTTGCCTTACGACACGATGCCATGCGTCACACTAGTTAATTATTCAAAGCGGTTGATTCGTGTTCACAAAATCGTCGACGAAAAATTGTATCCGGACATGCATACAGACACACACATACACATACATACTTTACACATTACATATACATACTACATTTAACTTGATCTTTTTTAGGAGGACAAACTTTTGGGACTCAAATAAAAAGTCTCCCTGCAATTCAAGAATATAAATATCCAAAAGACCAGGAACATCGGGAATAGGAGGCCAACATTATGAAACAAAATTGATAATGCTGATATTGGTAAGAGCCTTAAACAGGGCAGGACTAGATTCTTTTGCTTTAGGTACAAATGTCGAAGGTTTAGGTGTTTTTGACGACATAGTTCTGAGGTATAAGTTGAAACATGAACAAAAATTAAATACATTTTCCTACAAGCTAAACACAAAGATGGCCCTGCCAAGAATAAAGTTACAGTAGAAAAACTACAGAAAAATTATGGAGATTTTGGTCTACCGAAGTATTACGATAGTTATTTATCTATTAAATATAAATTCAATCCGGACAGTAAAATCCTCTATTCGCAGAATACTTTCAAGATTTAGATTGCAGCTTCATTATTTATACTCCTTCTAAGGAAGCAATTAATCAAAACAAAAATGAAAATCTTTATACAAATAATGATGACTTGCTTCACACACATGCCGAAGGAAAAACTCTTTCATTGGAATCTGCTAAAGTGCATGGTTTTGTCCGAACCATAAAGAAAATACGTGTTAAACAATTAGCTGAAAAAATGTACGAATTTATTTTTTCTAAACCAGAAATTACAAAAACATACTCTCGGATGATCTGATGAAAACCTATCACGTATTTTTGGCACAAAATATCATACTTGTTTCTGATGACGAATCCGAAGAATATTGCACTGGCAAATTTAGACCCGATGGTAACAATTATTTGTTATCTATTTTTAACAAAATAATTGAGAAAAATAGAATAAAAGAAAACAAAGATGCTGTATTATCATTCAAATTACCGATTGGTTTTGGTAACCTTGATTTAAAAATAAGAGGAAACGAAAAGAAGCAAAATAAAAGATCAGATCATTTGTCATCAAAATTAATTGAATTGTTAAAAAATATGAAAGATGGGGGTAATATTATTAGAATTAATAACAAAATAGTTGGTGCTGGAAAACTTCTCACAAAAGGTGAATTGGATATCAACGGCGGTATCGGTGGTTTAGTTGGAAATCTTCTCATTTTGGATGAATCGACCGGATTGCTCAAATTCAATACCGACGAAGATTCATTGCCAACGTGTTCCAAGAATCTATTCAAGAAATTACAAGCCGGCTTAACACATGAGAATTTAAACCAAGTACGCTTTGAAATTGATATCAAGGATTTTCCTAAGTTGTCCTTAATCGACCAAGCTGTTCAGACAATTTTTAAATCAAACAAAATTATATACTGATCAAGCAAATGAAGATGGCGTGGAAAAAATAATTAAGCAGGAAATCAATAAATATTATCAAAAAAACAATCGTTTTTCGATTCAAGTTTTGAAACCGATACCGTTTTTGAACACGTTCACAATAAGATACAGGAGTGGTGGAAATGTCAAGATCAAACTTCGTACTTAACAGAAAAATGTAATTATTTCGATAATGTGTACAAAGAGATTCAAGATAAACCAATTTTAAACAGTTTGAGAATTATGTATATTAGGAGTATCGAACGTTTTGGCATCAAATTTCAATGCGATTCGATTACAAAACTAGGATTGTCAGAATTTGAAGATCAACTTGAGAAACGAGTGTTAAATATTATCACAAAGCAAAAGTTATTAACTTGCATTAAATTAGTACAGACGTATGGAAGGCGTAAAAATGTCGAATTTATTGACCTTCAGTATATCTATTCACAATCGCACGATTACCTAAAAGAGGTGTTGGAAGCATTAGAACAAACGGAATGGCAAATTTTGATAATCATTTCAGACCTCACCGAAGAAAATGTATGTAAACTCTACTCAAATTTTGTAAAATTACTAAACTCTGATAATAAGAAAAAACTAATTTTTAATCTCTCAAAGGAATGACACTCTGGCTGAAAACTTCAAAGATTATGTTGATGTAATTGGTAGTTTTTGGGAGCAAATAGATGATCATATTAATTTGAGTAATCTGGATGAAAATTCACAAAATATAATTTTGTCAAAAAACATCATATTTCAAGGAGAAGTAACTTGTTTGAATACCATAATAGATGATTCTTCCAAAAGTCTTATACAAGGTGAAATGTTGTCTACTATTGTTAATGATAATACTTTGGAAATTGGAAAAACATTAGTAGATGCAAAATACACGGAATTTTATATAGACCGAACATTAGTTGTCGAAGAACAACATATTCAGCAACGACTGAAAGATAGCCATTTTTATGTAATATCTGATGACACAGAAAACCAACAAAGACCAGGACTAGAACAAGATATTGTATTGATAGATGGCCATGAAAGTAAATTCCAACAATTAATCGATCAATATCCTAACCATAATATTCATTTGCTGTACAAAATAAATAAAGAATACCAATGGAAGAAAAGTCATGGCGACTCAGACAAAATTTTAAAATTTCCATTGAACTTTATAATTAATAAGTGCACTTATAGAAAAAATTACAGATTCACCAGAAAAAGTAATTGTCATTTCCGCAGATCCGGGCATGGGCAAATCGACAGTATTGACCCATTTAGCAATGCAAACTAAACAGCATGATCCATCCTCATGGATTTTACGAATTAATTTAATAAATTATGCAAAACAATTGAAACAAGAAATAGAAAAATTCACAGAATTGAGTGTTATTAAATTTTTATACAAAACTGCCAATTTCAAACTTTTCCAAAAGCTAGAAAAAGAGAAAGACGAACGAAATTCGAT